ATCACCAGACATGTTGATTTACCGTTTAAATAGTATTTATTGTTACGCTAGGCATTGTTTTATATCCAGGGATGAAGATTACCTTGTGTATTTTCTCGTAAACTAAGCCGGAAACAGCAATCAGGTATACACACGTTTTCTTGGAATCAACCGGTGATTCGGTCAAGACACACCCAATGATATAACTTTACAGGATTTTTAATGCAAGGATCGGCAAAAATTGTATCTGAAACTATTTTTTTTATCAGGAATAATATATTCCAATATCTTGTTTTTTTAGATGCAGCCTTTACTAAACATATTTAAAATAATAACCCTAAGCGAAGCAGCTGATCGCTATTCTCGAATATTATTTTTTACATGGAACCAGTCTGACCAGTCACCGTCAAGGCTCATAGCGCACGTGATTGCGTGATCGCAAGAATTTCATGTTGACATAGAATCGTCAAACAAAAACAAATATGACTTTTAACGAGTCAAAGTATGGCATTTATGATATATGTATCCATTCTTTGTCAACTAAAGTTCGTTTCAAGGCGTCAATAGCGGTATTCTGACCGTGGTTGCTGTTAATAACGGTAAGTTGTGCGATCTTCCGATCGCTTCACACACGATTTCGCCGAATTTAATAAAAACAATATTAAAAGGAATTTTGAATAAAATTAATAAAATAAGTTACAAACAAAAGTCCAGATATACAAAGAACACTTTTTATAGCCAGACAGTGTAATTACATGATTAATTTGCGTACTTCAGTATGGATTTGTTGACATGGTATTTCTGGTGTTTCGTGCTCACGGTAATGTCTTTCCATGGGGAAAAAAACATCCAAACTCATAATTCGTGTATAATGCGCACCCCCTTCTACACAGCTGTGGGTTTTTTTAAAAAAAGTGTGCACTATATTCAAGAAAATACTGTATTATTATTATATTATTATTATTATCATTATTATTATCATTATTATTGTTATTAGGGCTCCCTGCCTACAAGGCAAGAGCCCTATTGTAATTGTTCGATTTATTTATTATTATTATTCCGCCGATTTTTGTTCCAATCGTAACTCAAAAACTACTGCTCAGAATCTCTTGAAAATTTCCACAAAGATACCTTAGATCCTGAAGTTATATCTACAAAAATCTCAAGACTCTAAGACTCAAGATCTAAGGGCAGATAACTCAAAACAACTTTAAAAATCGCAATTTCAACAGCTAAAATCTCCGCCAAGAAAGCTCTAAAGACTTCCAAAATTCTTGAACAGATCCGGAATCAGATGCCCAACAAAATCTCTACACATCCAATGTAGCGAAATTGCTTCGTTTGGCCTCCATATTGGATTAAGTGTTTTGGCACTGTTTTTTCCCATATTCCTCAGTACTTGACTCCCAAAATCTGCTCAGCTCAAACTACCAGCTCAAAAGCTTCCAAACTGTCCATACTTTGTCTCCAAGTACCATACTACCGACTTCGCAGAAAACATATATTTATGTTAAATGTGATTTATTTTCCTGATACTTTACGTCTTGGCGATTTCAGAACACCGAACCGTTTGTCTGTAGCTTAATGGACAACGAAACTAAAGCCTTTTAAAGAGAGAACTCTTTGGCCCTGTCATCAACTTGCCAAATAGCAGAACTCTAAACACCAGTAACTCGTTAACTACTGGTCCGATTTCGGCCAAATTTCGTGTGTATTGGTAGAGTGGGATTGGCTGTTACCGTGCCTAATTGTAGTCACGCGGCACATAAGAGAGAAATGATACATAATTCATGTATAACAACCTTTGTAACCTGTTGCTCCTAACGCAGGAAGAAACGGACTATAGTTCTAAATAGACTTACATTTGGCCTGGTATCTTCAACGGTTCTGCAAAGAAATCAGTGCCACTTGGTATAATATATCGACATCATAGTTTTTGTTTTCTGGAAGCTCATATCTGCATTGGCGCGAATTCACAATACACAACGGATGTGTATTGACCTCCCAGCGTGTCAGCTTGAGCATGAGTCAGTCGATTGCATATTGGAGCGAGAGCCACGGTAACGGTATAGCAAGATAGCAGTAGCGCTGTAGTGTGCTAATTAAAGTGTATTGTATTACTACAACTAAAGGTATTAACAGACGGGTAATCCGTTCACTTGATGTTTCGACGGTATCAGTGACATTTTAACATGGAATGAGAGTGCTCTAGATTTGTATAGTCTGTTTCTGTATAGATTCTCTTCACGCTGTTTGTAGTACACTCTGCCAGTAGAAAGTGCACAGTTTAGCGTACTTGTACGGTAGATCCATCCAATTGCTGCCTGTCTGAAAGGATTGTTGTAAAACATGTTTTGTTGTCTTTATAAAATGCCTTGTTTTTTCTTGGAACAGATTTCCGCACTATCAAAGTACCTTTTTTATAATGCAAACTTTAGGAAGTATTGTTTACCAATATCACCATCGTTTAGAAACCAGTCCCTTTCTTAACTTACTTAAGTGCAATGATCTCTATTGCGTTTACAGTTAATCCTCTTTTAAACTTTGATCATAAAAGCTTGGAAGACTCGGGTTTTCTTTTCTCATTCGTTGAATTGCTTCAACAAGAAGATGACAAGAGGTAACCGACATGTGTTGTTACTGTTAGATGTCCCAAGCCATCTCATCCCTTAGCACGTGTCAAATGTCAACATCCATTTCATACAAATTACAATAACAAGTCACCAACATCCCTGCATACTGGTATCATCCATCCTAAACAGATCCAGAGCCAAAATGGACATTATTTCTTGGTCAAAACGGACCGGTGAAATATCCTATTGATAATCCAGATCATATTATAGTCGTACACAGTATAGCACATATCCTTCCTCATATCGGAATGCACTTATTTAACAGGAGAAAATGCATTAATGGTAATAGATTAGGGCCATTAAGAACTCAGTTTCAAAGGTTTTAAGTACTCTGTATAACCAAAGTGCAATTTTGCAAAAGTACTTCTATGAATAGAGAACAGGATCCGCTGCTACAATTATTATGATAGGGAGCCATCGCTGCTTGCAGCTATATTTATTATTATTATTATTATTCCGCTTTTTTTTGTTCCAATCGTAACTCAAGAACCAGTAGCCAGAAGCTCCTGAAAATTTGTACCAAGATACCTCATGTCCTGAAGTTATATCCACAAGAAATTTCAAGGCCCTAGGCTCAAGGACTAAGGGCACGTAACTCTAAACAATTTCAAAAATTCCAAATTCAGCAGCTCATATCTCCGAAACTAAGGCTCAAATGACTTCCAAATTTCTTGTACAGGTGCAGAATCAGATACCCAACAATTTTGCCTCGACGTCCAAAGTCGCTAAATGGCTTCGTTTGGCCGCCATATTTAAAGGTTGTGGCACTTTTTTTCACCATTTTTACCAGGACTTGTCTCTCAAAATCTGCTCAGCTCAAACTACCAGCTCAAAAGCTTCCAAACTTTCCATACTTTGTGCCCAAGTACCATACTATCAAGTTCTGAGAAAACATCTTGAGATATCCCTTACAAAAAAAAAAGGCTTGAAAAGATGTATCCGAGACCGCCTTCATATTTCCCCGCAAGGCACATTTTTACCTTCTCCGCAGGGTCTTAAGGATGTCTCTAGATATTCCCGGCAAATGTCTCCACACCATCTCGGCAAACTACTCCAACTTGCAGCTTGCTGAGAAGTATCCGAGACTTCCTTACAGTACCTACTGAAGTAGTCTCCGATACTTCCTCAGAACTAACCTTATATGGCTAATTAAATATGCTTTGAACCATCTCGGCAAACCCACTTAGGAAGTCCCTGATTATTCTCCACAAACTTGTGTGACATAATCAAAGATGTTTCTGATGCATCCCCGCAACACTTGCAAGGAAGTCTCTGAAGCATCTTTGCAAACCTATCAGGGGTAATTAAATATGCCCTGAACCATCCCAGGAAAGCTTCTTAGGAAGTCCCCAAATAGTCTCCACAAACTATTATTAGGTAATCAAAGATGTTTCTAGTGCATCAATGCAACACTTGCAAAGAAGTCTCTGAAGCATCTTCGCAAACCTATCAGGGGTAATTAAATATGCTTTGAACCATCCCGGGAAACCTTCTTAGGAAGTCCCTGAATAGTCTCCACAAACTTATTAGGTAATCAGAGATGTTTCTGAGGCATCCCTGCAAAACTTGCAAGGAAGTCTCCGAAGCGTCTTCGCAAACCTAACAGGGGTAATTAAACATGCTTTGAACCATCCCGGGAAACCTTCTTAGGAAGTCCCCGAATAGTCTCCACAAACTTATTAGGTAATCAAAGATGCTTCTGAGGCATCCCCGCAACACTTGCAAGGAAGTCTCCGAAGTGTCTTTGCAAACCTATCAGGGGTAATTAAATATGCCCTGAACCATCCCAGGAAAGCTTCTTAGGAAGTCCCCGAATAGTCTCCACAAACTATTATTAGGTAATCAAAGATGTTTCTGAGGCATGCCTGCAAAACTTGCAAGGAAGTCTCCGAAGCGTCTTGGGTAATTTAACATGCTTTGAACCATCCTGGCAAAGTTCAAAGGAAGACTCCATAACAAAGACGTTTCAAAGACATTTTACCTTTCCATCATTTTCAGTAATACAAAAGATATGCTTTCCTCATAATCTAGTCTTTCAAAAGCACCCCAGAAGTAGTTATGTGTCTGTGAAACATCCTTGCCAAACCTGTACGGTCAAAAATGAGATAACAAAGTTGTATAGTATTCTCTTTATTTGGAGTAATAACAGCAATAACAAGTAGCCAGAGGTGGACATCATCGTCCGAGGTGGTCTGCATCAACAGAAGATATCATCATATGGTGGCCATCATATGAGTGAGTGAGTGAGTGAGTTGTGTTTAACGCCGCTTTTAACAGTATTCCAGTCATATCGCGTCGTGTCAGCTTAATGTGGGAGGGAGTGGTGCAGGTTTTAGACGTTTACCACTTCTGTGATGTTTACCACTTCGGTGAAACCAACGAGCACAGGTATGGTGCTGACAAACCTAGAAACATAATTGGGGCAAACCGGGATTCGAACCCACAATAAAAGGGACGCAACTCTGCACAGCAAATCGCGGCGCCTTAGACGACTGGGCCACCCGTTCCCCCTAGCCATCATATGAAAGTGGAAGTCATCCTCGTCCTGGGGTCGTCATGGAAGCTGTCCTTCAAGGGGCTGAAATGGGATCAAATGTTATTGTTAATCAGTGACATAATGAGTGAGTGTGGTTTTATGCCGCTTTTAGCAATATTCCAGCAATATCATGGCTGGGGACACCAGAAATGGGCTTCACACATTGTACCCATGTCGGGAATCGAACCCGGGTCTTCGGCGCGACAAGCGAAAGCTTTAACCACCAGGCTACCCAACTGAATCAGTGCCATAAACTTTATCTTGAAATTATAGGATGTCAAGAAGACGCATCAAAAGCTATTACAAAAATGACTTTTTTGGGCTACCAAATTACTGATGTTATGGTGAATGAAACAAATCATGATAAACTTACCTTGGCTCATTCACTTGAAGCCATTCCTAAGCGTGCAGATCTTCTTGCTCACCACAATGTTCTAGTTGTTTTGTCTTTGCCGGTTTCAGAACTGTTGAAAAAAATTACATGTTAGACTGGATGATAAATCAATGCTTCATAATTCATGATGCAGTAAAAAACAAAAAACAAAATAAGAGCATTAAAATTGCACTCTGGTGAAATGGTTCCAGTCCAAATGTATGATGATTTAAAAGTTACAAAACCTACCACTTATACCAAAACTAGATTTTAAATGATATCAATTAGTTAACATCTTGTGATTAGATATTCAGTTAATATTGATAATGTCCATATTAGTTGATCAAAGCATTACACATTCAAATGTCATTGTGTTCTAGAAAAAAATAAATGGTTTTGACATTTACAAGTACTCAGATTTGCTCAAAAGTTAAAGTTATAATATTCCACAATGCAAAAGGTTGTAGACTACCTCACACAGGAAGGATATTTAGATTGTAACACCTATTGACTCTTTACTATGATTCTGATATTAAATCATAAAAATTACACCTTTAACTTACAAGTGAGTGCACTTTGTAAGTACCAATTAGTTTCATAACTTATTAAGTTACAGTTCCATAACCTAAACTGAAATTTACCTGACACTTAACAAAAATACTGACCTTCGAGTACCACACCGGTGTCAATAGCATCGTAAAAACACCAAGTTGCTGGCCACCAGGCAGCAAGTGGCTTCTTCTCCTTGATCCCTTTTCATGAAACAAGCTCATCAGCAGGAGGTGTGACTTCTTCCAAGTCTATGAAGTATCGTTCCTTTTTCGTCTTCAAAAATCACCACAAGGATGGGGCTGAAAAATCAAGTTGCATTCATTAATAACCTAAAACTAAACCAAAACAAAGTTGACACTGGTAACTTTGCCAAAATTTCAAAAGCCTGGTGCCAGTCCAAAACGTAATTCTTGATCTAAAACCGCGATGGGGATGGAGCATGTCGACGGGGAAAACGATAAGACCAAAACATTTACTGGGAACATATATCTATTTCAATCAAACGTTACAGTACATGACTTTCCCTTACTTACGAGTTCTTAAAAAAATATCAACCAACCTCCTCGTTATAAAACAGCAGGTTACAAAATGGCGGCGATTCCCGTACTAATTACCATACAACTATGGGCATTTGTGTGTAAAAGAAACTAAGTTTTAATTTCAAATACCACTTAAGACAAATAGAGTTTAGCACAATACAAATATATGATTTGTTATCTATTAATTAAATACTTTTATAAATTTATGACTTCAGTCTGCGATCATATTTCACATTTCAGTAACCAGATACATAATTTGTTTTGGAAAAATACTATTTATGTCCGTCCCACATCGGCGCTCTCCGTAAATTTTACGGAGAACCACGACGTGATCGAAACATGAAATCTGAAAGGCCTGCGCAAAATTACAAAATCTACATTTGCGCCTATTGTTTTTCATAAATAGTCCCAAATTAGATGAATAAAGGGTCTAATATTGATGTTTCTAACTGACTAATTTCAGTTTGAGGTTCCAAATTAGAACATAAATTTACGATTTATAAATGAACCTTGAAAAAAAGATTTCTCTTTCAGTGAATGCTAAAACTTTGTTCAATATCTAAGTGAGAATTGGTTTGGATCGGGGGTAGTTTCGGTGGATTTATATAATTGTTATGGAGACAATATAGACGGCTATATTTTAAAAATATATTTATGAAACAGATCTAAAATGTACCTACCGTTTGTTCAGGAACACACGTTGTCATCCTTGCTGAACTCAAAGAGTCGGCGTAGATTCTACCTCGATGAAGGTTTGGTGACTCTTTTTCAGTTTTTTGCTTCTCTTTCAAATTATTATTTTTTATCGATAGATTAAAATATTATTCACTAGATCTATTTCCCGCAATGTTATTGAAAATAGAATTCTCCGACACACACTTTGACAATGGGTCCACATCGAACAAGTCAAAGAGCAAAATAAAACGTGTCGATCAAATCTTTAAATATATTTTACAAAGTAATAAATAAAATCAACCAAATTTATTCATTTATCTAAATGTTGTCAAACGTAGATCTAAGTTATCATTTCCATCTTTTCGTGCGATCGCGTGTAATGTCAGTCAAATGGCATCGCGGCTTTTATCGCCTCGATTTCTCCGCACGGACAATGTTTAATGCCAAATATATGCAAGAAAAATCTTTGTCTCAGCTCGTAACCTGGCATCCACAAAGTTTCATATTTTTAATATAGATCGCGATTTTCTGCTTAAAACGTACAGAATAACAAAAACCTTTCGTCAAAATCTGAAATACACGAGTACCGTTGCTGTAATTGGCTGCCTTAGGTCACGTGCTTGTATTTGACCAATCACGAATCTTGTAGCAGATTTCGGCAAGAAAGCGCCATCAGAAACCAATAAAATACCATGTAAAAGTAATGTAAATACACAAGGCGAGTTGACTATCGTGTAGATGACAAAATAAGCGTTGAAGATAATGGTGTGTCACATGGTACGTGTTATTCATACAAAGCTTTGAAAACGGAAATATTTCTATACATGCTACAGAGTGGACAGCCACTGTCATCGGGAAAATGATGACAGATATTATTGATAATTCTTTTAAAAATAATTTTCCGATTAGAAATCTACGTAAACAATAAAAATGAAAAAAAACCCCAAAAACAACAACAAATACCCTAGGAAGATCGAAGTCCTGAAAATCGTCAAATTTTTGTTTCCTTTGTCCTCAATCTGGGCCCCATTCCTCAATGCGATCTTAGCGCTACGATGATCGTAAGCCTATGTTAAAGTATGGGACTTACGATCACCTTAGCGCTAAGATCGCTTTGAGGAACGGGGCCCTGGACGTTATGAATGTGTTCGCTTAGATTATCTTTATTTACAACACACTTTATTTAACTGTAAATGCATTATTTAAATAATGTGACAAACATAACTTTCATGGGGGGTGAAGAGGGACCACACCCCATGGACACAGAACAGCTTCAACTATACCAGTTGTGAACAGAAGCTCTTAAATTTTAAAATTATAATTGGTATTGCAGTACTTAACTAAGATTCAAAGGCAATGAGTAACCAGAAACGAGCAACTTGAGTGATGTGTTTGAATTTTCTGATTGATCATTCATCCTAAATATATTTGACTTAAATAAACACTATGACAGTCACTTGACTTGTATTTGAATTATGATTATAACCATTAAAACAGCCAATCATGTATTTCCTGGCACCCCTAAAATATGTAATGGCACACTTAATTTGGCATAATTGTGCCCATTGGCAAACTTGGATTAAATTTAATTTCGATCTCTGTCATGTATATCTTGAGCCACTAATCAGCCACTATGTCTACAAGTTATATTACTTCATGTTGCCTTTTCTTATATACTTTTTTTCTGAGGAGACTGTTTTATTCTGTTATTTCTGATGGGAATTGATGAATATATTGTACATTTCTTTTTTTGGGTATTTAATTATTTATGTCTTTGCTGACATATATAGGATTTCTAATTTATTAGAGAAAATTTATTAAAGAAAATTCAAAGTAAATAATAAAGATCATGTCATCTCTTCCAAGCAAGGGACCTAGTTTTCCGAGATCTTGACTAAAGCTCAATGTATTGATCTGTATCAATTGAAAGAAAGTCTTTGAAAGGTATACACTTACAAAAGTCTTCATATAGTTTTGGTTAGTGAGGATGCATTCACATCATCATTGCAAACCGGTTATCAAGTTGCCTTGTGAGGAAGTCTCCGAATAATCTTTGCAAAGTTCTTTTGAAGATTTCCACAAGCAAAGAAGACTGCACAGTATCTTTTCAATTTTGTTTGTTTGTAAAGAAGTCTCCGAAAAGTCCTCACAAATGTTTTTGTGGGGTTTTCGCTAGCGAGGATGCACTCAATACATCTTTGCAAACCTTCAGCTACTTTATGGCCCTTCTGAGGAAGTCTCTGAATAGTCTTTGCAAAGTTGTTTTGAAGGTCTTCGCTAGCGAAGACGTATCCGAGACATCTTAAGAGATCTCCTAAGACATCCCCTGCTAGTGGAGATGCACTAGAAACGTCTTCAGTAGGTTAATGCCTTTGTGGGGAAGTATTTGATTATTCCCCAGAATAGTCTTCGATGGGTCTCCGCAAAGTCTCGGCTAGCCGAGACCATAAAAATTGGCTAAAATCCCACAAAAGATGCATCGGGGCGGTCTCGGGGCAGTCTCGGATACATCTTTTCTGGTTTTTTTTTTTTGTAAGGGATGTCTTCCATGGCCGCCATATTGACTCCTACTTCCGTCCCAATGTTATCTTCAAACTTTTGACAGGACTTCTTTATGAAGCTCTGGCACTGGAAACTTATCAGGTAAAGCACTTGAACAACCTCTGTTGTATCTTGCTTTGGTTGCTGAACTAGTTCTCTTGCTCTTATGTCAAATGTCATGTGTTTTCCTGATAGCCCATGCCGCCCTGGTGATTCCAGAACACCAAACCGTTTGACTGTAGCTCAACGAACAACGGAGCTACAAGCTTGTAACTCTGAAACTACTTGTCCGATTTCGGCCAACTGTCGTGTGTATGTGTAGAGTGTGATTGGCTGTTACCATGCCTAATTGTAGTCACTTAGCATACAAGATGACGGAGAGAGAAATGATGCATAATTCATGTATAACAACATTGTCAATAGAGTTAAGCAAACAAAGAATGGCGCATGCATGCTTATTGGCCTCACAGCGTGTCAGCGTGCCTGAGTCCCATGCAGCTGGGTCAGTCGAGTGCATAGTGGAACGTGATCCACATGCACGGTAATGGTATAGCAAGACAGCGGTAGTGCCATAGCGGTAGCGGGTTCATCCGAGAGCCGCTTTTGGGTGCTTCAGTCAAAACATGACCTACATTCCGCCCGAGAACACCTCCTTCATAAATCCATCTCAGACTGTGGGATTTACTGTAGGTTTGTGATTGAAAGTTTGATATAGCTGAACTCTCTCATTAATTTACTATCTTTTAACGTACTAGACATAATTTTGTTACCACAACTTCAAGTAATACCAGAACGGTTATATGTTGTTCACTTTATGTTTCGACGGTAGCTATTTCTATAGTCTGTTTCTATATGGATTTTCTTCAAGCTGTATGCCAGCGGAAAGCATGCAGTTTCACGCACTTGCACGTATGGAAGATACATCCAGTTTTGTGTAAAACGCATAACAGAACCAGACACCTTGTAATATGATGTATGGGGAGCATTAATTTTTTCAGCTGGATCTATATCAACATCATATTTTTTGTTAGTTAATGGTGCACGTGAAAGCTCATATCTGCATTGGCGCGATTCACAATACACAAAGGATGTTTATTGACCTCGCAGGTGTAAGCTTGAGGATAGGTCAGTCGATTGCATATTGGAACGAAGCCACGGTAATGGGAATAGCGAGATAGCGGTAGCGCTGTCGCGCACTAATTATACGGTATTGTATTACCACAACTAAAGGTAATAACAGACTGGTAATCCGTTCACTTGATGTTTTGACGGTAGAAGTGACATTTTAACATGGTGTGAGAGTGCTCCAGATTTCTATAGTCTGTTTCTGTATGGATTCTCTTCACGCTGTATGTAGTAAACTCTGCCAGTGGAAAGTGCACAGTTTCGTGTACTTGCATGATAGATCCATCCAGTTGCTCCCTGCCTAAAAGGCAAGAGCCCTATTGTAATCATTGTACAACATGTTTTTTTCTATAAAATGCTTTGGGTTTTCTTGGAACAGTTTTCCTCACTATCAAATTACCTTTTTATAATGCGAACCTGTTCATTATTGAGAATTTTTCTGAAAACATCCCTGATATAATGCCAACTTTAGGAAGTGTTATTTACCAACATCATTATCCTTTAGAAACCAGTCCCTTTCTTAACTTACTAAAGAAACTTTAATCACAAAAGCTTGGAAGACTGGGGTTTTCTTTGCTGATTGGTTGAATTGCTTCAACAAGAAGATGACAAGAGGTAACCGACATGTGTTGTTACTGTTAGATGTCCCAAGCCATCTCATCCCTGAGCACGTGTCAAATGTCAACATCCATTTCCTGCATATTACAATAACAAGTCACCAACACCTCTGCATGCTGGTATCATCCATCCTAAACAGATACAGAGCCAAAATGGCCTTTTTTTTTTTGTCAAAACGGACCGGTGAAATATCCTATTGATAACCCAGATCATATTATAGTTGTACACAGGAGTGCACATATCCTTCCGCATATCGGTATGCACTTACAACAACAGTAGAAAATGCCTTAATGGTAATAGATTAGTTCAATGGTTTTTATCACTCTGTATAACCAAAGTGCGATTTTGTAAAAGGACATCTATGAATGGAGAGCAGGATCCACTGCTACAAATTCTAATAGGGAGCCCGCATTGTTGCTTTCGTTTCTCAGTTGTGACAGTATGCAGCGGACTTGCATCACGTAAATACGTAATTACGCTATTTAAACAATGAAGTTCCAATGTTTTTTATAGGTCTCTCACGGTTACTCAAGTCTGGATATTCCGGAAGCCATTGTTTCGATTGTTGTTATTGCATTACACGCGGCCGGTTTGAAGTTCGAAGACATCTCACATGTTGTCTTACCAATCACAACAAGTGGAGATGAGTATTAAATGAAACAATGCGGCTTATGTTTGTTGTTGCTGTGATTTGATTTTATGTGAGTTTAATGCCAGATCTGTGTACGATATGTTTTTTCACAACCGGAGCAAAAGGCAGAATGGTTTCGATCACATTCAGCCGGATACAATGAACGTAATTGTTTGACAAATACACACACGTGTACATCGGCTTGGAATTAAATTTCATCAGTTTATTTGTAACTTTATTTGCTTTAACGCGCTTTAACATGCTTTTAGGGGAAAATTCTTCATGCATTTTTGGGAGCCATGGTTTACCC